TGTCAGGATTGGACATCATCAACAAGCCTGCATTATGCAGATAGCACAACTTCACTTACAGAAAGTGAAGAAAAGCTGCAGCACATACTGCAGGACTTCAAGAAAATAAAAGTCCCTACCAATGCATCAATGGGCAACAACATCACAATATGTGGAAAAAAGGTTGACATTGTCCATTTCACTTTATTCTGATACAAAACCAAAATCCATGGTAGCACCAGTCATGAAATAAAAAGATGTGCTGCTCTGGGATCTCTTTAAAGGGCTCAAGAGCAACTGTGTCAGTTTAAAGACTAAGGTAAACCTGATGCAAGCCACTGTATTTTCAATTATTTCTCATGTATCTGAAAATAGGACACTGAATAAGGATAACAAAAGAAGAATCGATGCCTCTGAATTGGTTATTGGAAAAGAGTATGGAATATCCATGGGACTGCCAATAGAACAAACAACTCAGTCTTGGAAGAAGTTGCTCTAAGGAACAACCAGTGTGCTCCTTAGAGGCAGAATGGTGAAACTTCATCTGACTTACCCTGGCCATGATGAAAGGGAGGGCTAATCCTTGGAAAGAAGCCCCATGCTGGGAAATATAGAGAACCAGTGAAATAAAGGAAGACCCTTAATGAAATGGATTTGCACAGTGACTACCGCAAAAGGGCTCAAGCATGACAAAGATCCTGAAGATTTTCTTTGACAGCACTTAACACCACCACCACCACCACCATCACCATGTATATATTTATACAGGCATACACACAAATGTATCACTGCCTTCTCTCTCTCTCTCCCCTTGAAATGTGAAGAAAACAGTCTAACAGGAAGGGATTAGAAGAGGAACTCAGGAGTAATCTTAGTAGGCCTAGTTCTGTTAGGATCTGGTCTGTGTGACCTTAGTTTTCTCACCAGTAAAATAACTTTTAATTAATGCAGTCAACAAAAATTTGATACCTTATGACACTCGAAACATTATTCTAATACTACAATCTTGAACTTACAACTTAACATGAAGTACAGTCCAAACACAGTAATAAATATTATACAAAGTAAGACCACCACAAATACCATACAAAGTGAGAGCAAAACAAGACAGGAGAAAAGTTGGCCTTGGTGACTCTAAGACAGGTGCATGTATATGTTTACAAAGAGACAGCACATTAAAGGAGGAAAAATATCAAGCACTTATAAATTTCCCTTCTAACTTAAAATTCTATTTCCTTAACAAGCATTAGTCATGCTGCAGTAAGTAGTATTATTATGTAGCTTAGTGATACATGGAATTAATGATACTTGGCTAAGTTCTCTCCATGAGCATATTTATATAATGTTGTTGTTGTTGTTGTTGTTGTGTACCGTGGAGTCGGAACTGACCCACAGCTGACCCTCCAGCAGGTTTTCAGAGGCAGTTAACTGCATGGGAGGAGACTGCCCATCCTTCTCCCATGGAGCAGCTGGTGGCCTCGGACCACATGCCCTTGGGATTGCAGCACAGCTTCTTGCCTCTAGGCCACCAAAGCTCAATGATATAATACAGAATTTTTAAGATGGAATTTTTAGGGAAATCTAGTGGCCTAGTGGCAAGAAACTACACTTCAACCCCAGAGCTAAACAGTTCGAATCCACCACCAGATGCTCTGCTGGAGAAGGAGGGACAATCTCCTCCTGTACCAGTCAGATCCAATTTGACGGTACACACAAAAAATATTAAAATTAAATTTAAAAAAAAGAATTACTAAAATGGAGTTTTAGTCTGCTTGAAGAAACATTGCAGTACAGTTCAAGCTCAACTAGGACCAAAATCTTCAGCTTCTATCTCTAGAAAGCAAAAGATGTTTGTTTGTTTGTTTGTTTTTTAAGATTTTATTTATTTATTTTCTTGTTGTGTGCCGTTGAATCAGATCCAACGGGCACAGGAGGAAGTTGCCCCCCCCCCCTCCTGCTTGCCTTTGGTATTGTAATACAGCTTTTTGCCACTAGGCCACCAGAGCTCCCTAAGAGATGTTTTTTTAAAAAAAAATGAGTCATTTTTGATGTGTGCACAAATAAGGAGTTTCTTTTTCAGCAGAAACAAGTGATCAAATTAGTTAAAATTCTGACAGACCAATCACAGCATTCAGAAAACAGAAACAAACACAAAAAGTCTAAAACACATAATCCTTTCATCTCTATACAACACTTATTTTGAGTGGTAATCATTAATTCAGAACCACATTATTTCAGGGGTATTTCTATAAACTAATGTGCTGGACATGTTGCTACGAGGTGTTATTCCCGGGAGAAGGACATAATGTTGGTAAGAGTGGCGGGTCGGTGAAGGAGAGGAAACCCTCAACTAGGTGGACTGACACGGTGACAGCTGCAATGGGCTCTTGTGTGTCAAAAAGGGTGAGAATGGCGCAGGATAGAACAGGGTTCAGATCTTTTCTTCATAGGGTCGCTGAGTTACACTGGACTCGACAGCACCTACAAACAACAACGTGCTAGACAACTAGTATAGCTATGTCACATACATCCTCACAGTAAATTTATAAATGCAACATCATCATCATAACAAGTAAGCTCAACTTACATACAAGCCCAAAGAACTCTGGATTCAAGGGTTACTGTTGACAGCATTACTTATAGAGGTGAAACATCCCTGTTTTAAAAAAGAACTGATGAGAAAGTACAGATAGTAAATTCACTTTTCTTAAATAAAGAACTAACATAAGACATTATGCTAGGGTATGCATACTATAATTTTGTAGTGTTTGGTTCCTCGGAGGTGTTTCTCCCACATTTATAAATCTTTCTGAGAAGAAACTGTCCAGTTTTCTCCTTTGGAGTAGCTGGTGTATTTGGGTGGCTTTTCACTTTGTAGTCCAACATGTTACCCACTACACTACCAGGGCTCCTTTTTATTATTTGGTAAAAAAGCCAATACTATAGTTCATCCAGCCTAAGATTCTTAACAGCTAATATCATCAAGACGGTTTTTATGGCAGGGTGCTACTCTTCCCGTGCTATCTACAGCTGAACACCAGGGCACACTCAAATCATTCATTTCCCTTAATAATGCTTCATTAATGTAAATGTTATCTAAATGTTTTAAAATGTTTTTTTCTCAATATACCACTACTCAAGGACAGACTTTTCTGATGTTTCCCAAAGAGTTGGGATTGCAAGTTCTCATTTGTCTTAAATTCACTTTAAGACAAAGTGTATATCCTAGTTGCAGTATTCCAGATTCTAGTGGAAAAGCTCATGTTTACCCATCCAAATTGCCATGATTTTTAAAAAGTTTTAAGTCACAGCTCTTTTGCACACTACTCTTTCCTGAAGGAAAAACTTGAAGGCAAGTAGCATTACAGAGTGGAAAGAAGACTAGATTAGGAGTAGAGAAGTGTTGTTTCTAACTTCAGTTTTGCCTATTTCTACTTGTCAGTTCTGGGCAAGTCACTGAAACTCTCCGGACCCTGAGGGCTCATCTAAAATGAAACTGAATAAGGTGATCTGGAAGTTCTCATCCAGACCTAAAGTACCTTTTGTTTTAATCTGTTCTCCAGCAGCTAGATTATTTTACACTTATTCTACTGGACCCTCTGCAAATCTTTTCTGTACTTCTTATTTGAAAGTCCGTAAGAATAAATTATGATGCAGAAAAAGTATATTATGATTTTATACAATAGTAAGATTTTTTTTCCCCAACCTAAAGTAACCTGGAAAAATCAAGGCTCGCTGAAGCATCAAGTATTATTCCTGAGAAATAAGGGATGTGGGTGGGACATGATCAGCCAGAAGTGATGTTAATGCCAGAAGAAGATGGGCACTTATTCGCTGGTTTTGTCAACTTCTATAGATTTTAAATTCTCTATACAAATTAAAAAGAAAAAAATCACTGTCAAAGACAAAGTATTTTAGTCTGGCATTATTATAGGACTCTCTTCTTTGAACTTGGTCTTTAGAAATCAGTCTTTGGCTTAAGGATAACTGCTTTCGTACCATTTCTCTTTAGTGGACAAAGACTCTAGAGGGCTTGCTATTAAGCAGAGGTGCTCCAAGTTCAGCCTGAAAGAAGTAAAATGAACTAGAAAGGAAACATTTTAACTGATCCCCCAAAGTTACCAATTAGAAGATCCATGTCTTAAAGGACACAGCAATGAGAGGCACCAATGACAGGCTGTGATCTCCAGTTCAGACTGGAACTTCGTTCTTGAACACAGAGCCTGGAAGCTATGTTTTCACAGAATGTATTTTTTTCATAACTTGCCAACTGCGAAACTTTAGAAGCCTGTGGGAAATGTAAAGTGAGGAAACAAAATCCTATGACACGAGGATGCGCTGGTGGGCGAGACAACAGAAAGTGAAGGAATGTCTTGGCGCTAAGGAAACGAAAAGGAGGAGAAAGAAAGGCGGGGGGGAGTAAATGCCCCTGAAGAACTAGAGAGCACAAGATTAACATCCCTGGGAAGCAGAGCATAGAGAACGAAATGACAGGCTTGGGAGCGTCTTCGTTGTCCCTTCCGGCCGTCACGATCTGAATTCCGGGACATCAGGGTGGAGAGAGCCCCGGGACATCTGGGATTCGGGAGGGAGACAATGTGGACACAGAAGAGTCCATCTCAGAAAAGGGGGGCCGGACGGCGGAGGCAATGGCGGGGAGCCAGCTCCTGACCGGACTCAGGCAGCGCGGGATCCTCCCGGCCGAGCAGCGCGAGCCCGGCGACCGGCGGGGGTCGCAGCCCCGACACCAGCTCACCCGCGCAGAGGGGACGCGCCGCCGGCCGCGAGCCCTCCGCCCGAGCCGGGCGCGGACGGCTCCCCCGCGGGGGCGGAACATTCCATCTCGGTCCCGGAAAACCCCAGGAAACGGCAATGGTGTCTCCTGACGCTGGAGAGGCGTAGGGACGGTGTCCCCGGGACGCAGGTGTCTTACAGAGCGCCTGACCCCCAACCGCAGGCTTCCTTCCGTTTCCTCTGTGGCCAGTGACATTTAGGAAATGGCCCCGGTCAGTTGTACTCACCGATCGTGAAGCTGCGGGGCTCCAAATCCCTCCGTCGACCGTCCCTCCCTCCCCTGCCCGCCGCTGCTTGCTGAGGCGTGCGTAAGGACGTGCGCGCGCCCGCCCTTTGTCTACGCCGTTTTGACGTGACTCGCGTCCCCCCTCCAGCCCCTCCCGCCCCTCCCGCCGTCTAATCTCACGCCCAGCACCCTAGAGCCGGGCGCGCGCCGCGCTGGAAGTGGCGGGCGGTGGGGGCCCGGAATGGGCGGGGACGTCGCCTCACCTGTCTCCACGGGTGGGCGCGCTCGGGACACGCCGGGTCGCCCCCTGGTGGGCTGGAGTCCTCGGCCGCGGGCCTGGTACAGGCAGGGGACGCTGGTCCTGGAAGAAGGCTGTGGAAGCACCCAGTCCTCCCACACTGCCCACTCCGGGGATTCCTGATCTGATAAGTGGAGAGCCTCGTAATGAGGGGTCTCCAACTTTCTGAGCTACGTCAGGGCCTAAATGATAGCTGCTTTCTGAAGGAACACACGTAGGTTCTTGAGAGGGCGAAATCGGCGAGAAGAGATTTGAGTCACTACCTTGTCGCCCACGGGGCAGTTATGAGTATGCAGGGAGATGTTGCAAGAAACTAGCACGGGGCCTAGCATTCCCAGAAAATGTTGGCTGCCATCATCAATCATCGTTCCTGAATTCCATTTGCTTTCTTGGTAAAGCCAGAGTCTAGGGACTTGGAACTGTATTTGGACTTGACCTCCCTGGTAAAGTTTAGCGGGGCCTTGCTGGAGATTTGCACATGTATCTTTCACCATCTCCTAAAACAAATTTAATGTGTGTCCTAAAATTGATCTGCTTTAAAAACAACAACAACCTTAAAACCACAGAAAAAGGAATTAACTCTTCTTCCTGTTCTTAAGAGGTGTGGTTTTTTGGGGGGGAAGGGTTCCCCCTCTTCTGCACTCATCCCTGTGTAGGGAACTCTGGTGGTGAAGTCCATAGAGTTGCGCAGTTAACCCTAGCTCTACGGGTGGAAAGATGTGCAATCTCCACCCATTCTGTTTTAAAGCCTCCAAAGAGGCTAGTGGATCAGCTATGAATTGTTTCTGACTCCATGACAATGAGTTAAGCTCTTTCTACTTTGCAGCAGATGTGTTGTTCACTGTGAGTCAAATCAAAGGAAGCTGGTTTGATTGGGTTAAACAGTCCTTTCCCCCCCCACCCCAGTTTTCATGTGTCGTCAGATTGAGTTTATTAGGTTTGGTGTCAGTTCTGGTAGTTCATGGTGTCATCCCCATCTCCATCAACATCCTGCAGTACTAGATGATCTGTTGTTGTTATTGTTGTTGTTGTTGTTGTTGTTATGTGCCATCGAGTTGTTTGCGACTCAGAACAAGAGCGCTAAACCCTGTTCTATCCTGAGCCAACCTCATTGTCTCCAGCACACCTACTCCCACCACCTCATCACTGAATCGATCCATCTTTTCTAGGGTCTTCTCCGGCACCATTCCTCCACTCTCCAAAACATGATGTCCCTCTCCAAAGACTGGTCCCTCTTTGCAACATGCCCAAAGTATGTCAGACCAAGCTTCAGAATCCTTGACTCCAAGGAGCAGCCCAGCTTCACCCTCTCCAGAACAAACCTGTTTGTGTTCCTAGCAGTCCATGGTATGTATATTTAACACTCTTCTCCAGCACCACAGCTCAAAAGCATCAATTCTCTTTCTATCATCCCTATTCACTGTCCAGCTCTTGGATGCATAGCACGCAATTGTGAAGACTATAGCCTGGATCAGGTGCACATTAGTCTCCAGCCTGATGTCGTTGCTCTTCAGTACTCTTGAGAGGTCCCTCACAGCTGACTTGCCCAATGCAATTAATCTCCTGATTTCCTGGCTGCTGGTACCAAGAGTGTTGTTGACTGTGGAGCCAAGCAACCTAAAACTTTTAACTATCTATCTAGGATCCTTAATAATCTGTCAACTTTAATCATAGAAACATATATGCTATAGCTGTGAATTGCTTTAAAGTAGTATTTTTTAGATGATGTTAATATGTTAGTGTTATCAGGTGTCATCAGGTTAGTGCCAACCCTCCAAGAGAATGAGACACTACCTGGTCCTGCCAGCCTCACAGTCACTGTTGCTTTGGTCCATTATTGCTGTCATGTGTCAGTCCATCTCAATATTGGTCTTTTTTTTTTCCTGACTAGCCAGTCTTCCGAACATGATGACCTTTTTCAGGAACTGGTCCTACCTGATAACACGGACAGAGTATGTGGGATGGTCTCTCCAACTTTTCCTCCTAGGAATATTCTGGCTGTACTGGTTCCAGACAAATTTGTTTTCTTGGTGAGTTGGATTTGTAGTCTCTGGCATATTACGTATTCCTGGCCAATACCATAATTTGAAGGCATCAATTCTTCTTCAGGCTTTTTATTCCTGTCCAACTTTCACATAAATAAGAGGCAGCTGCAAATCTTGTAGGTTGGATCATGTGGACCTTAGTGGCATCCTTTCTGCTTGTTGTTACATGCTGCGCAGCTGACTATGACTCAAAACGACCCTACAATATCTCCGACACTGCCCTATCCTGAGTCAGTCTCACCATCTCTAACACACTTGCACCTATATCCACAGTCACTGTGTCATTCTTTCTCATCCAGGGTCTTCCTCTCCTGTGCTGACCCTTCCAAGCATGATGTCCTTTTCCAAGGACTGATTCCCCTGGCAACATGCCCAAAGTATGTCAGATGGAGCTTCAAAATTCTTGCCTCCAAGGAGCAACTTGGTTTCACTCTCTCAAAGACAGACCTGTTTGCTCTCTTAGTAGTCCATGGTATGCTCAATACTCTTCTCCAGCAACATAATTCAAAGTCATCAATTCTTTTTATGTCAGCCTTAGTTATTGTCCAACTCTGATGTATAGCTTGTAATTGCGAAGGCTACAGCATAGATCAGGCACACCTGACATATTGGCTCTTCAGTACTCTGGAGAGATTCCCAATACCAGATTTTTCTAATGTGTTTTATCTTTTTATTTCCTAACTGCTGGTGTTGTTGATGGTGGAACCAAGCAAACTGAAATTGTTAACAACCTCAATGTCTTCTTCATTTGTCATGGTGCTGCAAATTGATCCAGTGATGAGAATCTTTGTTGTCTTGATGTTGACCTTCAATCCATATTGAAGACTGCAGTCATTGACCTTCTGCAGCAAACACTTCAGGTGTCCCTCAATTTTAGCAAGCAAGGTTGTGTTGCCCACATAATGCAGGTTGTTGATGAGTCTTGCTCTAATCCTGATGCCACATTCTTCCTCATAAAGTAAAAAGATGTCTGTTCTGCATATACACTGAAAAGGGATAGAGACAGGATGCATCCCTGATGCATTCTTTTCTTTATTTTAAACTATGAAATGTTTCTTTGCTCTATTTTGAAAACTGTTTCCTGTTCTAAGCATAGTTTTTGCATGTGTAAATCAAATGTTTTGGGACCCCCATTCTTCTCAATTTGTTGCACATCCACACAGTCAAATGGCTCTGCACAGTCAATGAAAGAGAAATAGACAATACTCTGCTACTCTCTGCTTTCAGCCAGGATCTATCTGACACTGGCAATGATGTTCCTAGTGCCACAGCCTCTTCTTAACCCAGCTTGAATTTCTTAGAGTTCTCTGTTGATGTACGGATTTTACTTGCATATGATATTAGTGATATTGTTTGATAATTTCCACACTCTGTTGGATCCTTTTAAGAATGGAAATAAATATGGGTCGCTTTCAAGCAGTTGTCCAGATAGTTGTCTTCCAGATTTCTTGGCACAGCCTGGTAAGCATGTCCAGGGCCGCATCTGTCTGTTGAAATATGTCAGTTTGTATTCCATTAGTTCCTGGCCTTGTAAACCATACAGGAGGAGATTCCCCATCTTTCTCCCACTGAGACACAGTAGTGAATTCAGACTGGTAGAGAGGGGCTAACTTTGAGTGACAGTCCAGTACTCTATGGGCTACACCACCAGATCTTATAAAAGCAACAAAAATAGCAATGCATGCTTATAGGATGTGCAGAAGAAACCACGTGATTCAAAGCGTCATTTCTAGTTGGAAAACCTCTGACTTGAGTGCACTATAGTTATATGCCTTCAAGTCAATTCAAGCTGATCCTCTAGTGGGCTTTCAGGATCAGTAAATCACATGAGAGAAGACTGCCCATCTTCCTCCAGGAGGGCAGCTGGTAGGTTTGAACTGAGTGCCTTTGGGTTGGCAGCACAATTCCTTACCCACAAGGTTATCAGAGTTCCCTGGAGTGCATTATTGTTGTTGTTGTTGTTAGGTGCTGCCATGGTACAGGCACCCTATGAACAGCCAATCTGAGCCCTGCGCTATCCTCTGCTATCCTTATTGTCTCTGAAACACTCGAACCTATTGCTGAATTCACCGTGTCAATCCATCTTGTTTGGGATCTTCCTCTCCTTCACTGACAACCTCCCATCTTTCCAAGCATGATGTCGTTCTCCAAGGAATCGCCTCGTCTAGTTATAATACAAGTCCAAAGTATAAAAGATGAAGCTTCGCCATCTTGGCCTCCAAGAAGCAAGCTCTCCAGTTGCACTCCCTCCAAGACATATTTGTTTGTTTTCTTGGCAGTCAATGAGATATTCAGTACTCTTCCTCAGCACCACAACTCAAAGGCATAAATTCTTTTTCTGTCATCCTTATTCATTGGCTACCTCTCTAATACATAGTAGGTGATAGAAAAGACCCTGGGCTCAAGTTCAAAAGGATTTTAGCCTTGAAGGGATATTGATATGTGTAATCTGGGCTTATGAAAAATGTTTTTGTTGTTATAACTATAGGAATATTTTAATAAAACAATTTCTGTTAAAACACTAAAGTTTTATAGACAATCTTTTCAGTGTCACATGCCATAACAAGGTCCACAGCCCCTACATCTCAGTAAACACCACTGGTCTGATTGCCATTCCATGCCGAATAATCTGTTAATAAATATGTGGGATAAGTCTATATTCTTAGACCTCAAAATCTGTCTGTAACAATGACAGTTGTGTTCCAAAACACAGGACCACTTACCT